AGCATGCATGTGCATAAAGCCTATACCACCTGTAGACCAAAATCTTTGGTATCAATTGTTTAATATTTAAGAAAATTTTATGGATTATGTCTGTTTAATTTAATTTTTCTCTATTGTTGAAGTATGATCCAAATTCCTATTAAGATTAGGATTCAGTTGGTTAATTGATAAAAATGAACAAAATATTATTGATTTGGGAGTTCGGTTGAAACAGGGATCAAAGTTCATCAAGAAAGTTATGCATGACTCGAAGTCTAATCAAGAAATTGCATCTAAAACAACACTTATATTCTCATCGCATGACAAGAGGTAGATCTTTGGAAAATCATCTATCTACATTAAAGGAAATCATCACTAATTTGGAAATCATTGAGGTCATGTACGATGAAGAGGATTATGGCTGATTTTGCTATGTTTGTTGCCCGCTTCACATATTACATTCAGGGACATCATCTTGTATAGTCGAGATATTTTCACCATTTACGAGGCTTATGGTGTGCTTTATTCTAGGGAGAAAATGAAACGGCTGGTCGTTGGATCGGACTCAGGTACAAGGTTTTGTTGTTTGCGAGAGGGATTTTAGTGGTCATGGAAGGTGCAGGTCAAAGGCTAATGATAATGATATAGTCTATTATTATTGCAAAAAGAAATGACATAAGAAGAGGGATTGCTCGATGTTGTAGGATAGGAATAAATTTGTTGCAACAAAATAGAATGGACAGCTTGGTAATTTCAGTAAAACTAGTCTTGTAGAAGAAGACGGCAGATATGGAGATCTTTTGGTAATTTCTAAAGGCGACTCCAAACCTGATCACATCGTGCACTTTTCATATGTATTCTAATTGGGATTGGTTTTCAACATATGAAACTGTTACAAGAGGTTTCGTGGTGATGAAAAATAATTCACTTTTTAACATAGTTGGTATTGGTAAGGTCAAAATAAATATGTTTGATGGGAAGGTTAGACACTTGGTAAAGTGAGACATGTTCCTACTTTGAATATAAATATTATTTCTTTGAGTACTTTCGATTCAAAAGGGTACATATATACCCGTGGAGATAGGGTTCTAAAAGTTAGTAAGGGTTCCTTGTGGTGAAGGAACAGGGAAAGTCCCAATTATATGTTTGGAAGTTTCAACGATCACTTTAGATGTAGTTGCGGCTTATGGTTCGAAAACGATAACTCGATTAGAGTTGGTTATGATCATGTTGCTCATGGTGATTCGAGCAATGATATTGAAGAACCTGCCCTAGCAAGTGGAACTAGTTTTGATCTTGATGATCTTGTGGCTCGTGGTGATTCGAGTAGGTTGACAACTCAGGTGGAGTGGAAGTGAACGGGATGATTCAAACAGGTTTGAGGCCCAAAGTAATTTTGTTGGTAAGCAGGGTTTGTATTTTGTTCACAATTGCAGAGTATGTTCGGAGAGGCATAGTAGAAGAGGTGGAGTTTGAATACTCTGTTTGGAGAATTGCTTAAAGCATAATTTCTTGCATTGAAATTTATGTCGATGTGGAGATTGTTGGAGTACGATCCAAATTCATATTGGGACTAGGATTGGGTTGGCTAATTGATAAAAGGGAACAAGAGTTTTCTTGGTTCAGGAGTTTGGTTGAAATGGGGATCAAAGTTCATTAAGGATTAAAGTTTGATTGGTAAACGAACCTTGGATAATCGAAGACTGGTTGTGGAGTTTTTGTTGAAGTGGTCTTGAAGAGATCAAATTATGGATTGGGGAGAAAAAGTCACCGCAATTTCACTAGCTGGCCACTAGCTTTGGCACTCGAGCATCGGGGGTGAAAAATGGAGTAGAGAGCTAGTGCCCGTCTAGCGCTCGCTTGGCGTTCTAGCAACAATGTTTCTGGTGGAGAGTCCTTTTTCAATTCTAATTCGTTTCTTGAGTTATATTTCATCTAAAACACTTGTAATAAGTTCATATATATACTTTGCGTGATGTATAACCTTGATAATCTTGTGAGAGTATAGCAAAACATTGTATAACATTGAAAGAACATCAAAATGAGAGGATCTACATTATAGAGAGACTCGCGTATTTTAAGATAGTTTAGGAGTCTTGCGAGATCCTTTTGTATTTCTTTGCTATTAATCATAGTGAATTCTCAACATTTGTCCATGAGTTTCTCGAATTTGGATTTTCACTTTAAATCTTGTGTTCTTGTGTGATTTTTTTCATCTTATCATATTTTCTCGACTTTAATATTCATAACAAGTTGTATAAGTTCTGTATAAGTTTTCAAGAAAATTTAATTTCAACTTTGCATCAATTTGTTGGCAAATATACAACAAGAAATCATAATGGAAACGTAACTGATAACACAATACTGCATGCAATAATAATGGAAAATCATTAGGGTTAGGCATGGTTCAGTTCAATTCTAAAGAGAACCGAACCAAACCCGAAATTTTCAGGTATTTAGTAAATGAAACTGTCGGGTCTAAATTTAATTATGGAATCGTTTGGGTTTGGTTCCATTCGGTTCAGTTCAATTTGGTTCCGGGGTCCCGCACAATAATTAAATTTTTTTTATATTACAACAACGCTACATTAATTCGACTATAACATATTCAATCTTAACTTTTACAAATAACGCAGTCCAATCTCGTGACATCTTTTGCACCTTTTTTGTTGAGTTCTTTATAGATTTGACTATTAAAATCTCAAGAAGATGAAGATAGTTAGTTCATAATAGTATAACGGTAGAAACAACACTACAATAGAATAAGAGATTTGGGTAAAACTTAAATCAATTTGATTAAGTTGGGTTTGACTGGAAATTAGAAATAATAAAATCATATTTTGGATTTTGAATAGATTAATTAGTTAGCAATTTATTTTAAAAAATAAAATAATTTTACTTATTTAAGATAAAAAATTAAAAAAATTAGAGAAATTCGGTTCTTGGTCTAGAATCGAGAACCGAACCAAACTCATCGATTCTCGATTCAAATACATGTTCGGGTATTTAACTTAAAAAGAACCACTCGGTTCGATTCAGTTCGAGTCCGGTCTGATTCGATTCGAGAGTTTTATCCAACCCTACAAATCTTGGATTTTAGAAGATAACTTTTTTCCTTTTTGTGAGAAGATAAAGGTAAAGAAAGGAAGAAAAAAAGGAGGATGAATTCTACTATAAAAGGATTTGGGTTTT